TTCGAGAGCTCGGAGACGTCTCATTTCGTCCAGAAATCTTTGCTCTATTCGAATAAACTAATGGTAAAAAGTTCAATTATATCTGTACATAAGAAAGTCAATAAATACATAGGGGGTAAGTTTTTTTTGGATCACCCTGTAGATTTTTCGGTTTTTATAAAAAGTGCATGATTCGAAAGAAGAAAAAGACAGTTTTTTTTTAAATATATCGAAATATAGAACAAACAATTGTCCGCTAAAATAACAGATCGAAGAGCTCTGGGTCATACATGAGCGTGTCCGGACTGGAAGATTTTTTGGCGCACTCGGACTCGGACTCGAATTTGAGTTTTTGTATTTTGAGTCCGATCTATTCAACTTTTAACACAAATGAACAGAGAAAGATGAAAAGCGAAATAACAACACCTTCTGTTTTACAAGAAATTGAAAATTTTGTTCGGGAGACGGACATACAAAGTAACCTTATTTTCGAAAAATCAAATATCTATCGAGAGCTCGGTAAATTAAAAAAGAGAAACAAACCACACTCATCAAAAAAGAATCTAAAAGATCACCAGACTAAAAATGGACGCTGGACTCGGACCTTAATGTTAAGGACTCGACTCGGACTCGCCCATACCTGCTCTGAGCGTTCTTTTACTGGCATTCTAACTTATATTGTTTTAATGTCTTCTTATCGAATCAAGATTCGAGCTTGGACTCGGTTAGCTCATCACCAACGATCATTTGGTCTGCTGTACTTTCTTATCATCGTGAGACTGTCTTGTTTCATATATTGTTAAAAGTGTTAGATGGTCAAATTGTACGGTTTTGGATATCAATCTCTTGATGATTCAATCGAAATATAGACGAAACTTTAATATCAGATCAAATATTTTTGCGTAGTATCAGATTTCAGACGATTTATTCAACAGGTTAAATAAATCAAATTTCATACTCAAGTACTGGGATTTTTGAAATAAAATACAATCAACATTTTCATGATTGAGAATTATATACATTTGTATGAAGATTATTGCTCCTTCTTATTTGTTTGTTATATGTGGAATGAACAATTTTTCTTTTATAATGAAATGTCGAAAAGAAAATGTTTTATTCTTTTTTGAAATCATATTCAATATGTTTATTTGCTATGTGTACTTGAACTCATGGTGAATGACTGAAGTACGTAGGTCAGTACTCGAAGTAGAGACATGACGATAACAGAAATCGAAAGAAAAGAAAATGTCTTAACGTTCATATATATGAACCATATATTAAGATAAAAAACACAGGTAGTTCTATATATTGTCGTTGTCCTTAATGAAGAGAAATAAAAAGAATGATGGATATATCACTTGTGTGTCGTTCAGATTGTACATATGAAAAAAATGTCCATCTATATATCTAACATCTAATATTAAGTTTCGCACATGTTCCAGGTGATCATACGAAATGTCGTGACGAATCACTAGTACAATGTTCTAAAACAATTTCATAACAGAGAGAGAGAAAAAAAGAGAGAGTAAGAGAGAAAAAGTGTGAAGAGGAAATACGTTTACTGGTCATTGGTGACATTGAACTAACGAGAAATATTTATGAATAAGAAGGTAAGATTTAATAAAAATTTGAAAAATTCTTTTGTACGTGTATCGAAATACAATTTTTAAGTATATATGAGGTACATTCCTTTCCGTTATCAACGTAGATAATAAATAAGGACTGTTGTACATAGAAACAAGGATTGTAAGTCAGACATTACTACAAACAATAGATTTTTTTTTTTTTGTTAATCAAAAAATTGAGTTGTTTTTAATCATTTTACTTAATCCAGTCGTGTATTTATAGTTAGATTAGTTTTATAATTACATCCATGTCAAATTAGAAAGAAAAAGCGGTTTTCAAAAAGAGCATATGTCTCGCTTTGTTACTAATTTACATTTAAGATTTTCTAATACTATTTTTTCGACACATATCTTCTCTTCAAATGGGCAAGCATAAATTTGATCCCTTTTTGTTTATTAAAAAAGAAAAAAATGATGACTTACAATTTTAGAGAAGAAAACGATTCTTAGAAATTTTTCCACCATACGGGTTTAAAAAAATAGTATTAAACAAAATTATGTATGATTCAGAAGAAATCTTAACGTAGTACATATCTCTGTTTTTATGTACTAACATTGCTAGGAAGAAGAGTTCATATTTGGATAAAATGATTGATAGTTATAATGAGAAAAAATTTATGGAAAAAGAGTCAAGGTAATGAATTCGAATTTGAAAGTTATTATCTTCAGCAACATTTCTACAAGCAATATTTTTCAAATTTTTCTAGAAAAGAATTCCTTTTCCTCATCTGATGGACATTATATACAATTAGACCTAACTCGATTCTCATTGTCTGATGTGAAAAAGAAAATAAGAGAAATAAATTTTAATAAAAGAGAGCGAAATTCTTTAAAATTTATTTGTTAATATAACTAATAGAATTAATATCAGACTGGTTTGACATTAGTTCTAGTTTGCCGACAGGAATCACGACCAAACCATTATTTATGACTGAAAATGACTACTGTTCTATGTTCTAAATAAGAGAAAACTGGAAAAGCTTTGTAATCTTTATGAAACAAATAAAATGTTTTTCATCACTGTTGAGGTATTAAGTTTACTATCATGTTACTTTTATCTCATATATATGTACTGTTTTGCTGTTCACTGTAAATGATATATCATTCACTTCTATTTTTCGAGTTCATACCGTTAAATAGGATATACAACAGTAAATATTTGCTATTTTATACGACAGTGATGTAACTGAACATTTTTATTCTTATACACACGCACACACACACACACCCATATCGCATTTTTTTTGTGATATATCATTGAACTGTCCACTTCCGGTATGCGCTTCTTTTTATTTCTATATCTATTGTTTATTATTATCTTAACGAACTAAACCTTGATCTTTGATTTGTTCAAATTCTTTATTTATTTTGTTCTCTTGTTCCAGAACCGATAGAGTAGTTGATGAAAGTTTACTCAATAAAATGGTTGCAGATGATCGACTAAAAAGTGTTATGTTTTCAGCACAAACGAGAGATATGGATACATTTATTCAATGGCTTGGTGGAGAACGAGCTGGTTAGTGATTTATATTACTTTTCATTCTTAAAATGTTTTTAACATGTTTCTACTGTTTATTTTTCTAGTGGATGTTCCAGATGAATATTTACTAGCAACATTTCAGCATAAACACTTTGTTAATCATAAAAAAAATACTAGTGTAGATAATGTTGAACAAAATCAAAATTCATCATTATCTTGTCAGCATCACTATAACGATGTAAATGTCAATGCACAATGTATCGAATTATTACGATTAAGAAATTGTACAGAAAAGATAGACAATTCTCAAACAATGAATGAAACGAACAGTGAACAAGTATGTTAAATTATATTTGATCAATATTTTAATTACATTGTGATTAATTAAATGTGAGACTCGGTGTTTGATGATAAAAATGATCCAAAGTGATCGGTCGTAGTCTTTCTGTTGGGTAGAAAGTATGTGAATATACAATCAAATTTATACTTTAAATTTGATTCGATATTCAATTCTGTATGAGATCTTAAATGTCGATCTGACTTGAAGAAAGCTAATATGATTTAAATTAACTGAGTTAGCTATGCCTAGTGGCATGGCCAAGATCGTCCAATCTCTTTTTACCCTGTCTCGCAGCTAGCTCGTACAGAGGTTTAACTATTAATATAAAGGGCGGCCCAGAAGTCCTGACCCGATTTGGATAATAAATTTTTTTATAGTGAAACAAGTGATAGTAAATTTGTCCCTATGAAGAAACGATGCAGGGAAAAACGCTCTACAAGATGACTATTGATTGACCCTGTTAGCTCATCTAGTAAGAAAGTTATAGGCTTGGAAATGTGCTTTACAAAAAAGAAAAATCAACCGTGAACCCGGTCCATATAGTGGTGCTTTCAGTAAAAGTCCCATAACTTCATCAAAACAAAACGTTTTTCAATCGGGTTTGTTTTGCTTTGATCAGAAATGATTGCTCTTCTCTACCTAGTTGCAACATCAAAACTTCGATCACGTTTTCCATTTCTTGCTGGATACACTGTTGGAAATGGGGTTGTCGATTTTTGACATATTTTTGAAACGTGATTCTCGAGCATACCATCTGCTCTAAAAAGTCTTTTTGCAAACCACAAGAAAGAGCACATTTGAAAGTACCCAACACAAATTGTGTTGTCGCTTTTGCACCGCTTTTTTTACGGAAATAATAGGAGAAGAAGGTTAAGTACAACAAACCAAATTTACAAAGTTTTTGTTTTTTTCGCCTCGTGTATAATTTGCTTAGTTTTCTTGATTGAAGTTCTGAAATTAAAGTTTAGGTACAGGTTTTGTAGAGAATTTCACGACGCTTCTATTAAAAAAAAGAACTTATTCTAGGGGACCTAAGGAACAGGAGTTAAAGCAAAAATATCGAGACCAGATTCACGGTTGATTTTTCTTTTTTGTAAAGCACATTTCCAAGCCTATAACTTTCTTACTAGATGAGCTAACAGGGTCAATCAATAGTCATCTTGTAGAGCGTTTTTCCCTGCATCGTTTCTTCATAGAGACAAATTTACTATCACTTGTTTCACTATAAAAAAATTTATTATTCAAATCGGGTCAGGACTTCTGGGCCACCCTTTATTTATGATCTTTTATAAATGAGCCAAGATAAATTTAAATAAGCTTTGTCACGCACACGTTTCTATCAACGGTACATCTGTCCAAGATGGTTCCTTCACACTTTATGTTCAGTATATTGTGTAGATGTGCCCTTTCATCAGACAAAAATTTAACTAATTTGTATTTGTTGAACTATTTTGGAAATAACATATTTTTTCCTTATGTTTTGAAATCTATTTATCTTATGACTCATACGCGCACCGTCGATAATTAAAATAGATATAATGACAGAGGACGATCAGGTTTGAATATGAATCATTATGAAATCGCGAGACAGGGACCGATCTATCAAGATCTTGTTTTTCTTACTCACACACACTGTCTTACTCACAAAATGTTCAATCTCTTATTTTTTCGTGTTTCTTGTTGTATCTTGATTGAAGACGTTACACTAGGAATATGTACATGAATTTAGTGTTGCGCATCACTCACAATCAATCGTATAGTTCAATAGTTGACTTATTTTGCTTATGAGATAATTCTTAGAATAAACCAACTAGATTGAACATCTTCGAATCAAATTGTAATCCTTTTAAAAAATCTTCTTTAATCTTGCCTTTGTTTACACAATCTAGCTTTACCTACTAGAATAGTCGAAATAAATGTTTTTTTCTATTTACAAAACTTTTTTGCTTTACTATCAATTTATAATGTTTCATTAATGTATGTAAAAGACTTCGATATGATCGAAAAAGCAAATTTCTAGGTTGTATATATGTGATTATTTAATTAGTTATCAATTGTCAAGGATCTATAAAAATGTATTGTACAAAAAACTCTCTCTCTCTCTCTCATGATGATAACAATGATGATAATCGTTTAAAAATGTTATAAAGCCTTTTATATATATATTCAATGTCAACAAAAGTTAGTCATTTTTTTTCTTGTTTAGAGCAAACAATTTGAACGGGGTCTTATAAATCCATTACGTCGAAGTTGTCATCGTCGTTCACGTTTATCATTAGATTTAAATTTTGAACAAATACAACAACGAATACGAAATAATAGTAGTTTGTATTATGAGGATGAGGCCTATTGTACATCAAAACGTGTACGATCAGATGAAATAACTGATTTGACAAGAAAAGCAAGTAATGGAAGTAGTAGTAAATTATCCAGTGTTGATCAAGCAACATTATCATCATCACCAATTCCACACATTGATACAGTTGATGATATTTATTCAAAATTGGATCTAGCACAAAGTTTATTATTAATGGAATCCGATTGGAATGATATTGCACGTATAAGAGAAATAGCACAAACGGGTACATTTCAAAATTCATTAAGTCTATTACCAATGTTAACATCGAAAGATCAATCAATTGAATTGTTTCATGAGATGAACGATGATTTAAAATCAATTATTGATAATTTTTTAACATTAATCGAAACAAAATTAAATGAAACAGAAATGAAAATGTTTGATTCAAAGTTAGTATAGAACATTCATATTTAACTATATCTAATGTTTTTAAATATTGACAATTTGACACTAGAATAATTAGTTTTCAACTAATTTAGTCCTAGGAAAATAATATTTATTGTCTTCTTTTTTTTTCTTTTAGCGTTAGTCGATCATCTTCACCATCATTATTCGATAGAATTAATGAATACAAAAATTGTTTAACAATATTTAAACGTAAAGAATTTTATAATTTGTTGACAGCATTTGATCAAATATTAAAAATGCGTTTACCAGCAGCATTGCCCGACGAAGAAATGTTAAAAGAAAATAAATTAAATGACGATGATGAATTAGTAAAATTATCACAATATGCTATTGATGAGTTAAAAATTGTCAAAATTGAAAAAGGTATTTGTCTAATATTCTTTAATGTTAATATTGTCAAGATCATTTCTCATCCTATATAGGTGTCGAACCATTAGGTCTAACAATTCGATCCGATAATGGAAAAATTCGAGTTGCACGAATTATTTTTGGTGGTACTGCACATAAATCAGCCTTATTTCAAATTAATGATGAAATATTAGAAATAAATGATAATGCGATAAAAGGATATCGTCTCAATGATGTATGTGCATTACTTTCACAATGTACGGGTATGATAAAGTTTCTTCTTGCACCTGATAAACAACATCAACAACAATCAACGGATACAACTAAAAATCGGACATACTCTGTTTCAACATTATCTTCAACGGGATCTTCATCTCCAAAACTATCGATAGTTAAACCATTATTTATTCGTGCCATGTTTTCCTATGAACCAATGGATGATCAATTATTGCCATGTAAAGAAGTAGGATTAAACTTTCAACGTGGAGATATTTTAAGAGTAGTTGGTCGAGAAGACGATGATTTTTGGCAATCGTTTCGTGAAACAAAGTCACCGATTAAATCAATGGCAGGTTTAATTCCATCAGATAGATTACAACAAAAACGTGTCGCTTTACTCAAATCGATTGAAGAAGATGATGATAAATTGTATAGCGATACAGAGAATGAATATTCACAGAAAAAACATAGAAAACGACGAAAGAAGAAGACAAAAACAACAATTCCATCTTGTGTGACATGTATTCATGGTCATCGTAATCGTCATTCAATTCGACGAAATCGACGTTCGATAACTAATCGTTCAGCACAGTATAATAATCGTTCATTTTTACATGATATTAATGATAATGAGAAAATCGACAATAATGATCAACTTGATGAAACAGCAACAATACAGCATTCAACAAATCATTTTTCATTAACTGATACAAGACAATATCAATCAAGATCAAAACAATCGCTATCAGATGAATTTAATATAACAGAACCATCAAGTTATCGATTTTATGAGCCAGTATTTCGTTATGATCCAAAATTATTAGTACAAAATGATTGTTCAACAAATTTATCTGAAACACCCATAACAAGGCCAATTATTTTATTAGGTAAGTTTCATATTAAAGTTTCAAATTTTATTTTGAATGATCATCAAAATTTCTACTATTCAAATATTAACATATGTCTTTTTACTTCAAAGGTGCTCCGAATGTTGGCCGTCATGAATTACGTCGTCGTTTATTACAAACAGAACCAAATATATTTGATGTTGCTATACCACATACAACACGTGAAAAACGTTTAACTGAATTTGATCATCATGATTATCATTTTATTTCAAAACAAGAATTTTTAAACAAAATTAATGAGAGAGAATTTGTTGAATATGGAGAATATGAAAAAAATTTTTATGGAACAACTAAGAAATCCATAAAAACAATTATTTATCAAAAACGAAAAATATGCGTATTAAATTTAAATTCGGATGCATTACAAACGTTTGAAAAAACAGATATTTTTCCCTATGTTATCTGTATAGCAGCACCTAATCTTGATAAATTAAAACGTTTAGATTTAGATCGTAAAGATCAATTAACCGATAACGACTATCTAGATATCTTGAGACAAAGTCGTTCGATTGAACGTCGACATCATATGTTATTTGATTATTTAATTATAAATCAAGATTTAGATAAAACATATATGGAATTGAGACAACATATTTTAAAAATACAAAATGATACAGAACAATGGATTCGTGCGTGTTATCGTTCGAGTAATAGAACATTGGTGGCAACATACGATGGAGAATAAATATAATCGAAAAAGAATTAGTTTTTTTTTGTTTTTACTTTCTTCTTTAGTACATTCCAAACTATTTTTGTTGTTTAATTATCAAAATTATTATTTTTTTCGTTATTTACATTTTATATATTAAGGACATATTGAGTAATTAAAAATTCGTTAATGCAATAATCTAACTGTTCTATGAAGATCTTAATAGGAGGAGTATGCTGTTGTCTCTACAGTAGTTATATTCTTCCGTCTAAACGGATATCAATAGGACACAGTAACGTATAGAAACGTTGGTGAAAGCGTAAAATTCTGAAACTTTTCTACTTCTCGGTTAGTCTCTCTACGACTAGAAGATATGTTGATCTTTTATATCTTTTATATGATAATGTACTCGATAAAAGTTTAGTTTCATTTAGAAAACTTTTTTTACTATTTCAAATACCCACAGATATAAAAAACTTCTTGCATTGTCATTTAATCAGCGTTAAATCTCTTGAACTTTAAATTTTCATTTTTTCTGTGAGAAAAGTCCACACGAATTCCGTTTTTGGAAAAATCCTGCTTTCTGAGAATTCATGCGAATATTCTAGAAAAAAAATGACACAAGTTTTCCGATGGCCCGAAGTTATTCACTGTATTGTGTTTTGCATGAATAAGAATTATAAATGAATCACATGCTATTCAACATAGAAAATTTTCTTTTCGTGCCGTCGCACGATCTACGAGCACAAACTTTCACAATTCTTGAAAATTATTCAATAATACCGCGAGACATGTGTGTCTTTTGTGAAAATCAGACGAAGTTCGGTGATACGAATCCTATGGAATTTTTTTGTGGATGTCGACTAGGATATATTGACAACAGCTGAGGTGAATTCAGAATTAAATTAAAAAAGGAGTTTAAAATCCCTCCTTTTTTCATATGTATATGTGGATGTTCTTACAGAATTGATTATCATCGACTGTCCTAAATCTAACCAGCAGCATAGTTTTTTGATGCAGAAAAAGTGAACATCTTTATTTGAAGTCATCAACTCCTTCAACATTCTCAAAATAGCACACGATGATTTTTGATAGTAAGATTTTTGTAGGTCACTGTCCTCTTTTCTTTGTGTTTGTTCAGAAATACTGTTTGAAGAGAAACAATGAATTTTTCCAAAGGTAATCCATTTTTAGAGTGAGATTTGATCAAAATTTTCTGTTAACCAGTAACTCTTCAATAAAAAGATCTTTAGAGTCTACTTTTTCAAATTTTTCGAGCCATATTATAACTAACAACAACACGGCATACTTGAAAGCTAAGTTTAAGATGTTCTACGCAAGTATCTATCTGAAACTATCAGAAAAATCTACTCTAAAAAAAATGTAGACTATTAGAGTTATTATATATAATGTACGATGAAAGAACAAATAGGTTCAACGAAAAACTAGTTGTAACATGCTAAAAACTTATTCAGATTCATAAACAATAAAACAACGAACAATACAGTAATAAAAAATATATTTTAAAAATGTATTTCATAGACATAGCTAAAAATAACATTAATAGGATAACATATTGCTTGAGCAAAGATATTTTTTATCTAACATGTGCACTTTTAAAATACTACAAATGAATTTTTTCTAATGTTTTATATCCAATACTATCCCAAAAATCACATTCCTTACCCAAATAATTATTGTCAACGTTAAATGGTGGTTGATGGAAATACATGTATGGAAGAGTTTTATTCAATTGAGGCCAATTAACATTAATAGCTGCCGGTTGATTTGTATTCAATGTTTTAGCAAAATTTGTCCAGTAATTTGCCATTTGAGTTGATACAACTTTGCCTACATCCGTAAAATTATCCCAAGCAGACATAAAGATGAAGGCCAATTCTCCACCATGACAAACATGTCCTTCACAAAATGTAAGATTGGCCCAACCAGGAAAATCAAGGGGAAAACCAAATGCATAGTAATATGATGGTGAATTTGATTTTACTAATACTTTTCTTAAAAATAATCGTGTTGAGCACGAAAATACCCATTGTGTAGCGACCACAGAAAGTATTGGACGTTGATCATCGAATCCATCGGGGGGATATCGTTCTATTACTTCTAAAGCTCGACGACCAAATGCACCGACAAGCAATTCACCATACAATGTAGCAGACAATGGTTTTGTCCATCCTTCGTAGATGAAGAGTAGAGCTTCTTCTGTCACCGTACCAATCATAAGTGGTTTCAATGGAAATGTCACATTGTTAATTGTCTCAGTTAATTGTCCGAAAACAACTTTATGATCAATTACAGGTACCCATGGTTCAAAAAATAAAAGAATTTTTAATGATGTTATTTTATTATTGACTATTGTTTGTGCTTGAATAATTTCATCAGCTGTTTTTGATCTCAAACACAAAATATCACCGACTTGGCAACGTATTTGTTGTGACAATAAAACATTAACACTAATATATTCACTGTATGTTCTAAAAACAAAAAAATATATCTAGTCAATTCAGATGGAAGACTGGACATTTAATTTTTATTACTCTCTATTTACCTAAATGGTATCGACATTGGTGCACTTTGAATGATTGCTGCACGAAAAAATGATTGAGTATCATCAGAAATATAATGAAGAGCGGTCGATTGCGCGCCAGCACTTTGTCCAAATAATGTTATCTATTATGAATAAGAGTCATACTACATACAAAAATGAGCTAAATGAGAAGACAAACCTGATCCGGATTTCCGCCGAAGCTATAAATATTCGCTTTGATCCATGCGAGTGCTAATCTTTGATCTAATATTCCATAATTTCCTTTAATATCAGTGTCTTTATTTCCAGTTGCAAAAAATCCAAGTACACCTTGGATGAAAAATAAAATACGTTTTATTTTTTACGTTTAAACAATTTATTATTGAAGAAAAACATACCTAATCGATATTGAATAAAAACCGTGATCACATTTGTAGAATTGGCAAAACGTTCAGATTCATAAATTAGAATTGATGCTGACAAAAATTGAAAATTACCACCTGTTATAAATATCATCACTGGTAAAGGATCATTTGAAGAGGTATTCGTTAAAGGAGTGAAAATATTCAAATATAAACAATCTTCAGACAACTATAAAAAGAAATCAGTGTTCATGAAATTAGTAGTTTGAATATGTTCAATTTATATGCTGTGAAGAACGTACAGAATTAGTGACTCTGTAAATTCGCTAGTGATTCTATACATTCTCTAATCACTACTAAGTATAGAATGGGATTTTGAGCCTCGCTAGGGAATAAATAGACTTTTCAAATACGATATTTCTGACTTAGTTTTTCCTCAGAAAAACGACAAATCTTTTAAATATGGTCATTTCTCACTCTTTTCACGATATTTTGCACTCATGATGTAGTTTTGAATATACCGGATTCATCCATTAAGTGCGGAGTGGTGGCAACTTCCACAATTCCATGGAAATTGCAATATTCACGAAAATTACTCTAACCGCCACTCCCTCTCACACTGCAGCGTCCCCTCTCATTACTCACATACTGGTAGAATTAGAGAATACTGGTAGAATTGTAACTCTAGTTGGAATTCGAATAGAATCTACTCAATTTTGCTGGAATTCTGGTTGAACTAGAATTGGAATTCTACCAGTATGTGAGTAGGGAGAGGGACGCTGCAGCGTGGGAGTGAGTGGCGATCAGACTAATTCTGGAATTTCTATGAAATTCCAGAATTATTGTTTTTGTGGAAGTTGCCACCACTCCGCACTTAATGGATGAATCCGGTATATTCAAAACTACATCAGGAGTGCAAAATATCGTGAAAAGAGTAAGAAATGACCATATTTAAAAGATTTGTCGTTTTTCTGAGGAAAAACTAAGTCAGAAATATCGTATTTGAAAAGTCTATTTATTCCCTAGCGAGGCTCAAAATCCCATTCTATACTTATTACTGATTAGAGAATGTATAGAATCACTAGCGAATTTACAGAGTCACTAATTCTGTACTTTCTCCACCTATATAAAGGATATAATCATTTTATAAGAAAAGCAGCAGCTATACTTCATGTATTTATAATACGTACAACTTTTGGACATAATGTTGGTGGAAGATTGCACTTTGGTTGAGGACATGCAGGTGCTGGTTGTGTCGCATTTAAAATTTTAGGATCCCACCTTCCAACAGGTACCGGATTATTCCATCTATATTATAAAAATAGTAAAGTATCTTCTTTTTTTTATACTTTGTATTGTTTTTTTGATGTCTTTCATACCTTAATGGACCAACGGGCGGTTGTGCATAGGGAATACCATAGAATACGCGTGCAATGTCCGTTTGATATCCTACTATGTCACCATACAGTGTATGTACATAGACAGGTTCATTGGCAAATATACACGTTACAAATGTAATTAAATAAACTGAATATATTGACCATGATAACATTTTTGCACCAAGACTATTTTAGAAGAAAATGTCTAACGAAAGTGATGTATTTCTGTTTAACTTTTTCATCAAAACAAAGGATTGATAACAACCACTTGACATGCTTTTAGCCACAAACTCTTCCTACATTTTACTTTAGATATTCATAGAAATGTGGACGAAGAAAAACAATGAAAATTTCTTACAATTAATTTTATAGTACTTTGCTTTTTTTATTCCTAAAACTATTTATTAAGTCACCATTTTTCTAAATGTAACGGAATATGAAGAACGAAAGATACTGTTCTCATGGCACAAATTCTTATGTCAAAAAGTTTTAAAACTTAATCATCTGGTCACCATTCATCCATAAATATTCCGTTTAAAAAAACGGACTAATCGATGCATAAGATTCACAGCTGTACAATTTAAGGAGTAAAATATCGACTAACTCAGGTTTTTAGGTCTCATATCTTTGTTGTAATAATGAACAATTGTTTTTCATGTTAGAAAAATATATCTTGTTGACTAAATAAAAAAAGTATAATATACATCACAAGAAAAAAATTCTCTCATTTCGATTATATCGAATTACGCATAAAGACAGATAATACAATAATAAGAACTAAACTAAATAATATATTTAGCATAATACAAACAAAACAAATACAAATATGTATAAGAAAATGTGAATTTTTTTTTTCTTTTTCTATTATAGAGACTATCGTTTAACAAATCATCAAAATAACGTATTTACAAATATTGCCATCGATTCAACCGCTCACTCTAATCCTGCGAAGACTAAAAAATAGAAAGTAAAAAAAATTAGAAATTGTACAGTAAATGATGTATCTTGACTTTTTTTCTTCGAATTTTTGTTTGGGAAAAAAAAGGTCAAGAGAAAAAAAGCTACTTGAAAGTCATTTTAAAGCTTACATTTCTTCTTTTTCCATTGCGTAATCTTGTTGTTATCGTTGGTGGTGGTAGTTTCGTAGTTGATAATTTTGCTGTCTGATCGGTTCTCATTGATCTTTTATTCGTTGTTGTTATTACTTGTGATGTCTGTTGTGCTCTAAGAGGTCTTGTTATTTGTACAGTACCTGTTCCGCCGATATTTGGTATTTGATATGTAGTATTCTGTTTTTTTCTTTCTCTTTGTTGTTGTGATCGAATTGACAATGAATGATAGCTTCTATCTGATGTAAATTGTGAATATGATAATATATCATCATTCTCTTCTTGACACTTAATAATAACACGTTGTTCCGGCTCACTTATTTCATTTGGTTGTGATTGACTAAAACCGGTATCATTAGCTGCCATACGAAATACAAGTTGTGATTCCGTTGGCATTGAATAGCTCGCGTTCGTAATTTGTTGACTATTTCTTAAACTATCATTAGAACTTGTCAATGTTATAACAGAAGATGGTAAATTATTATTATTTTCCGATTCTTTCGTAGTTGTTGTCACCGGTACTTCATTCTCTTTTGGAGATGATAATGTTTTCAGATAAATAACGCTTCCCATTGAACTTGCATCATCATCGACAACAATTTGAGGTAATTGTTCTTCATTGATCGTCGATAGATATGATGGTAAATTTCTGTAATCGAAATCGAAAACTATTTCAAAATACAAAATGCCAGTTGATCTGGTTTTTTGCCCCACTACCAATATAGTATCATAAATCAGAAAGAAAAAGAAACGTTTATATATAAACGGTCTTTTGTTTATTCAATTATGTCTAAGAAAGACTTTCTAGAGTCAAATACTTCGTAAATGAATTATAAAGGAAGAGAAAGGTCAACTCAACAATACAAAGTACTGGCGTTACAAAAATATTCTAAAGAAATATAATCTTTTAAGGTTATAGAACTTCATCTAAATTAAAAACAACAAGCATCTGCGTTACAATAGTGCAAAGAATATCATCTGTTCTCTATAATTATTCATTTGTCGTGATTCGACCAGTACCCAATTTTTTCCAAACAAGATGCTTGGAATACTACGGTTTGTATTGCATGAATCTAATTGTTTATTATATCTCTAGTACAATTCTGAACGAAACAGAATAGTATCTGAACTATGAGAGAATCTCCTCTGAAGCATCAGTATGAGAAAAAAAATGAAAGCCCAATTTACGTTTCTTCATGTGAGACTAATTTTGTATTTGTAGTTGGTATGATTTTCGTTTGTTGTGGACTTGTTATAATTGTGGAATTGCTATTCAACGTTCGATGTCCAAAGCGCGGTTTTGGTCTATTGGTAAACATCATCAATTTTAATATATCTTCTGGATCTTTCACTGATATTTCATCATTGAAATTAACATCCACATCTATACTATCAGTAGCTAATACTGCATCAACTGTCACAGTTGCTCCTGTTATTGTTGTTGTTGAAGGTATTTGTTCTATTTGTTGTGAGTTTAGAGTGATAATAGAATTATGTTGTTCATCAGATGATTGAAGCGTTGCACGATTCAATACATTTCCGCTGCTATGATTACTACTTGTTACCGAGGATGTATTAAGTACGACAGGTGCTGTTAGAAATGCTTCAGATGAACCTTGCATAGCGCTCGTATCGGAACATAATGGAGCATCTGATGCTGATTCTTGTTGCTGATTAATATGTGTTTCAGATTCTTGGCCATCATCATACACTTCTAGATGTTCGGGACTATCATGAATTTTCTGACTTTCATGTACTTGAATTCTATAAGAAAAAACAGTATTATTCGCACTGCATGTTTCTTTCAACCGCTCAAATAAATTTCATTTTTTATAGCATTTTTAACAGAGAGAAACTTTCTACACAAAGAATACAATCACGCAAATCACTATCAACGACTAGTGAAGTGGCATCTATTCCTCCATCTGAATTGTTACAAGCCAAAATGACAAACTTAGAGAATAGTAAAATTGTTTAAAAACATATATCCTTTCCTCTGTGTGATGATTTTTGTCATGGTTTACTTACTGTACAGATCGTTGTTCGACGGCTTGTGCCTGCAAGAAAAAAAAAGAACAATTCGGATGAGACCTGACTAAACGCAACACAATTTTTTTAATCTTACCCGTTCGGTATTTGTTCTATCACTCATTATTGGCATATTTTCGTTATTTACATTGGTTACCGTGGCTACTGAATGTTGTTGTACTGGTACTGATATAGCTGCTGGCTGCCGTTCCTGTGATTGAGAACGGGATCGCCTTTGTTCTGATCTTGATCTTCTTCGATTTGGAGAATGTCGGCGATAATATCCATATGGATAGTGATGATATGGTGGAGGATAAAAAAACGGCAGATACGAAGAATAATGTGATGGTCTCAAAAACGGAAAAGGACCTGATGCTATAGTTGGTGGATGAGAACTCGATTGTTGATGTACATGAGATGTGTTATTTAGAAACGGTAAATGTTTTTCACAAACTGGATGTTGAGGAAACTTGAGCATATAGTCCACTATCATACAAAAAAGGCAACCACCTGGTGACACATTGGCAGTGCATGTTGCACTTTCGTTGAATGTTAAATCTCTCTGTGTGTCGTCTGCAAAAAATTGGAATCCATTTGTGGTTATTGGCCGTCTATCACTTGAATTACTCCGTGAAGGTGGTAAATCTCTTTGAATACTCGATAATGAGACTGGTGGCGGATTATTTGAGGAACTTGCCATATTGCCGTTTGAATTGCCTAAGAAGGAAATGTGACAAAAACGCTAATTCTTTACCTGAGGCTATTATGATTACTTTTATATGCTAATGCACACTTCTGCATTTCTTCAATAGGAAATTTACTTCATCCTACGGTAATAACGCTTAATCTTAACATAACGAAGCTAACCCAAATAATATTTTTCCCTTTTGAGTGTAGTTCAAATAGTACCAAATTGAACACAGGATTGTTTCAAGGAAAAAAATAACTGCTTTCATCAAATATTGCTCAACAAAAATACTTTTATTTCTTACGAGATTAATAATCGATGTCAGGACATTCAGAAAATTCTTTTCGAATCGATTATAAAATATCTGTTAGAACTGCTGAATGTTTGCTCTACTAAACTGAAACGCTAGAAAAATTTTAATGTTATAAATAGAGAAAATATTATAAATCCCAAAACGCACTAAAATCGCAAAAGAATAATTGATGATCAATTTTGCATATCGCAAATTGGCAGATTTCTGAATGTCTATATTTGTTACAAATAACATGAAAACTTTTCTAACATTTCAGGCTAGTAGAGCAAACATTTCTCTATTAAATGAAACATTCGACAGCTCTAACAGATATTTCGCAATTGATTCGAAAAGATTTTTCTGAATGCCCTAACATCGATTATTAATCGATCCATATTTATTACAAGACTTATCTTTTTCAGTATTTTTCACGAATATTTCTCACGATTACAATTCTACCCACTTACCATTTCTTATCTGTATATTCTGACGATGATCCATTTCTTCGTCATCGTCAAATAACATGGCAGATCGTACTGTTGAACTATTATTATGTTGACGCTTACGATTCATAACTGGAGTACTACTATTTTTAACTTTCACATTACTTCCAGTGTGTTTGAATATTGTTATTCTTGATGCAGATGGTTGGTTATATTCGCTACAACCATCATCATTATCATCATTGATATTGTCATTCTGATTTTGTGATGCGTCGGTCCATAAGTCTCGTTTTCGCTTTTTAGGAGGTGGTTGACGAGTTTCTTTCGACTTTTTACGATTAATTAAACTCATTCTCTATGGACTGCCTAATAGATAAAAAAACATAATACTAATAATACTCTGCTATTTACACAATGTAAGAGTTGAAGACATTTTTTATCAGAAGAAACACGAAAGAAGCACACGAATAGTGTGATGCTCTCTGAAATAAGTTGATTGAAAGACTAGATTAAATTAGCTCAGAACCGTATTATCCACTTTCACCGAATGACAACAGTAGAATACTTAATATCCTTCATATTCTTTCAATCGTAAATGTAGGTAAAATAACTTCGCTCAGTTCAAAGTAGACTCATAACTATCTGAAATAAAAAATAAACAACTTTTCAATCAGGTATAGTAGCGTTGCATTATAATGGCAGTAACTTTCTCATTTTAGAATGCCCATGAGATGAAATAATTCAACTTAGAAAAAGATAATAGCAAGAACCACGATCTTAATGGCATTCCTCTCTAAAGAGGCGCTTATCGCTGAGTCAAGATTTCTTCAGCATGAATATATCTTGATGAGTTATGAAAAAGTGGTGTTTGAAGTGCCTGTACAAAACTTTACTTTAGCCTTTATAAGAGTCGCATTAGGCAAAAACGGCTATTTCGCGTGCCATGATTTCGACCAGAAGGAGCAACCAATAGGGAAATCTTTTACCGCAAATGCAACTCATCTAAAGCTGAAACAAGCTGTGTCTTAACCCCCCATAATAGAAGGTCATCCCCTATTAGAAGACCACTGGTCTTCTATTATGTCCGCGAAACAAATCGGAAAATGCCCTACCTACAGGAGAATTTTCAAAAACTTTCGCTCCCTAGAGCTACTAGCAGGCGACAAAAGTTGACCGCAAGAGAAGACCACCCTTTAGAACTTGACTTGCGGGACAAAATAGAAGACCAGGTGATCTTCTATTATGGGGGGGGGGGGGGGGAAATTGTAATTTTGGGAAAAATAAAAAAAAATTTAAAGCTATTGGAA